ACAAATAAGATCATAACATATCATCTAATTTTAATGTGATATAGTAGTTGGTAGAACTTTGTTTCACCTTTCAACATCGATTCTATTCTACAGTTTTACAGGTTTGAAAATATCATGCCCAAAAATCCATATTTTGGCAAGTCCTGTTTTCAATTCTGCGCCTTGCCGGTCTTTGAGTGGGCTGAGTTTCTGTCATACATGCGATAATAACAAAACGAATTGAACTTGTTATCGATTGCTTTCAACATATTTCAAAAGTTTTAGGCGAATGGATGAGATATTATTGAAAGTGTGAGACTAAGGGGAAGAGCAAATTAGAGACTTCGCGAAAAAATCTATGATAATACTACTCTGGTGAATTTGATTCGTCACGCGTCCGGTCAAAGTTGAAGACAAGGTCGTTTTGGTTGAGGTTCTCGAGAACAATCCAACTTTACCACGCTAATTCAACAACTTCGGCGGAGGTGGAAAAGTGAGAGAAGAGGGTTCAAGGCTAACCAATAAAACTTTCGTCATCTGTTTGAAACCCTTCATACAGCTATCGCTATCTGTTCTCTTTTATGCTAAAAACAAATCTCTGATCTATTCTATGATACTTCTATTTCTTTAGTCAGTGATTTGGTTTACAGTTGGATGTGGTGCTATTAATTTTCACCCAACACTTACACTTAGTATGAACTTTTTGCCAATGAACCAAACGTGCAAAATGCACGAATGCGAACATTGAGATGTCAGGGACGCAGCCCATCTCTGTCGTTTTTAGCCGTGACGTTGCTATACCTTTGCCTCGATGACCAATACTGGCTCGTGCTGGCGAAGAATTGATCAAAATTCTGTTAAATGCCAGGACTTCTGTGACAAGTGTATCTTGAAAAGGAAAAAATAACGATATTCCGCTTATATCTTGCAGTAGATGGTTTTTGCCATTGATTTAATGCTATTTTAAGACATCTCGCTTGACTTCAACAAAGCAGAATTTCTTCAATCTGGAAAATAGGTACAATATCTAGCCTTTGTACATAAAGAAATATCTCGTAAAGTGGGAAGATATGTTAAAGCTTATCTCATACGGGAGTTTTTTCAGCATTTGGCATCAAACTCCCTTTTTCAGCTTCGTCATGAGAACACTTCAAATGCTTATGACTTGAAAGCGTCGCCTAGTGTGCTCTTTGAAATTATTTA